GAGAAGATGAGACGGAGCGAAGTCGCCCCGAAGAAAGAATCTAATCCTCCCAGTCCAACCTTCGGGGCCTGACGACTGCAACAACGATGTAACAATTCCTGAGCGCCATGCAGATTTGTGAGCCTATGTACCCACGCAAACCCCACATATATTTGTCAATGTATGTCTGCCTTTGCTCTGAAGCCAAACAGCTAGTGCGAGAGAGCTGTATAAGATTCGAAGGCTGGAGATATACACCAACTTTCCGCCAGACGACCTCAAATAAATTAAAGGAATCGTTCGAATTCCCTGCAGATATTCAATGCGGTTAGAAAAAAAAAGACGCTTCCATTAAGGACCAGTGTGCCAATACTCCTCTTAGCAAGCCAGAGCGTCTTCGATAGAGAGATCCAAGAGGTCGAACACATGCAGACGTGGCGCACCAAAGGCAAATCGGTATCCCATAATTTTGTGGAGATGCATCATTCGGCCGATAAGATAGGTTCTCACGATATACCTGCAGCCAATCTTGCAAAGATGGTGAAGTAAACTGACCATGGAAGTCCCAATTATTCTAGAGGAAGGAAGATTAGGAAAGCCGTGATTCCAGGAACATGGAGAGATATAATCAATCCCCTCAAAAGGGAATTTGGAAGATTAAACATAGAAGACCTTGTTTCGAATCCTAATAATTGTAGTCCCTGCCACATACCAGGGCCACCAATCAGCACGACGACATTTGTCCAAAACTATGCTTTCCTGGTGTTTTCAAACCAACACAGAAAGCAGTAGAGTCATGAACCCCTAAATGTGGAGTAATTCAAGTGGGCCATAGATGTCCCCATTTTCTCTGCAATTTCATTTTGGACCACATAAAACGGAAGTCTACGAACCCAAATAGGCACCCAACCAAAGTGTCTATTAAACTTGCTGGAATGTTTGCCCCGAGCTCTAATTTAATTCAAGTTTACCAAAACCATGCCTCCCTCCAAGGGAAGGGCTAATTTTATCTGTCTAATCATCTTGACAACTGAACTGCTGTGATGTATAGACTTCTTCCCAAGCAATATTTGCCAAATCAATCTTCGATTAACGTGTCCTTTCTTTAATTTGTCTTTGAAAGCTCCAGCCCTTCTTAACTTGCTGCTATGAGGAAGAACGAAAACTTGCGAGATCCGAAGGAAGCATTTCCCCAAGCAGTTAGAAGATGTGCCATGGAAGCGCTAAAACTTGGCGGGAGATCACAACAAATCAGCCAGTAATACGTTTTTCCCCACTAATCGACTAATCAACAGTCTCACCTCCACCTGACTCCCAAACTAATTTCGAGGGCAATGCTTCTTCCGCAACGCTTAACATAATTTTCACATCTTTACACTCCACAAAAGCCTTTTTTCAGATCAACTTATTACGGCTACAATTGCCCCAAACGTAACTAGAAATTATTATGATTCATATATTGGTTTATCAAAATCAATTCTGCTTACCTTCAATCCCAGCTCCATTAGAATGCTCCCCACTGATTTCACATTCCTGATGAACCATTCCACTTGCTATGTTACTCAGCAGCCATAGAACGATATGGTGGGCTTCCGGGAGAGGAATCGCCAATCCCAAAGCGCGTTAACTTCTCCAGAAGGAGTAAACTCGCGCCCTATCACTTCAGCATCCATCATCTCGAAGTACATTGTTGAAGGAAGAGACAAGTAGCAATCATTAACATCAAGGACATCCAGCACCTTCAGTATCCAGATCTTATCGAGGCTGAGTAGATTCCAGTGGAGTCCTAAGATTTTCTACGATACACCTCGTGCGTAGTGACCTCCACAAGCTACACTACCCCCCAGAAATCTCCATAACCTGCATCGCAGATCGTGAGAGAAGCATACCAGGAGTATGAACGATCCCACTATCGATCCAGAGCGGAGTAGCAGAGGCACCCTCCCGCATTTTGATCCCCCCCATGTTCCATGCACCTCACTTGAAATGTATCTCTAGCCGCGAGAGAGCTCAACATTCTGGCGAAAAACTCACCCGCAGTAAGCCGAGACAGGGAGTGATGAGGCGTAGACGTCTCGAAGTTCCATGCGAGCGTAGCGAAGTGAAATAGGATATACCAGGTCGTCTTTTCCAGGTCTGACGCTCGAAAATGTCTGCCAAACCTTCAAGATTACCAGTTTAAGGGAGAATCTGCACACTCTCACATAGAAAACCCCCTCTACTATATTACACAACTCCGCAAAGTCCACCTCTATACCACCACATCTTCTCCCGGAAGCAACTAGGAATGTGTTATACAAGTGCCAAAGAGAAACCCGCAGCACACTTCACCTCCTGCTCCACGCACACCGACGCGATGTGGAATGACGAGAGAGGCTGAGACTGTACCTGTATCGCTACCCCATCTAACCGAGTCAACTATACAAGCTACAACTTGAAACAGACCCAAGATCTAACCAAACTCACACTAAGCACAAGAAATGAGCGATAACCAAATAGCAAACCTAAAACGAGCTGATGAAAAAAAAAAAAATCTCAAAGAATCGCCCAGTTTCGTTCAACCAGGGGCGATCATCCTGAGCCGTAAGAGAATAGAAAGGAGAGAGAGAGAGAGAGAGGGAGAGGGAGGAGCGGAGGAGGGAAGAGAGAGGGAGGGAGGGGAGGAGGAGAGAGAGAGAGAGAGAAAGAGAGAGAGAGAGAGATGATGAGAGAGAGAGAGAGAGCTGAGAAAGAGAGAGTGATGAGAGTGAGAATACATGAGAGAGAGAGTGAGAGATAGCATGAGAGAGAGAGAGAGAGGAAGAGAGGGTGAAAGAGAGGGAGAGAGGATTAGAGTGGAAAGAGAGAGAGAGAGAGGGGGATGAGAGAGGAAGAGAGAGAGAGGGATAGGGAGAGAGTGAGGAGGAGAAAGAGCAGGGGGAGGAGAGGGGAGAGAGAGGCGAGAGAGGGAGAGAGAGGGGAAGGAGAGGCAAGGGAGGAGTTGGAGAGAGAAAAATAGAGAGAGAGTGGTGAGAGAGAGAGAGCAGGAGAAAGAGAGGAGCCGCATGAGAGGAGAGAGAGAGAGAGAGAGAGAGAGAGAGAGAAAGAGAGAGAGAGAGAGAAAGAGGGAGGGAGAGGGATAGAGCTGAACTTTGCATTTGCATTCATATAACCAAAGGAACCTTACAATTAGAAGTAAAGAAACCAAAAAGGGAAACTAGCGGCCAACCGGCCTTTCTACCAAAAAACCCCTCCTATCTTCCTCAAGGATGTTCAAAAAATCTTGAGGAATCAATACATTAGACTATCCCCACCCCTCCAAACAAAAGAGAACTCGGTGGCCCTCTGTGCACAAAAATGAGCCGCCAAATTAAGTCGCCGGTTAGTATGTAAAAACAAAACTTTTTTGAATTGCTTGGTCCATTCAAAATCTAAACAATCAGTTTGCTTAGTCTTTCATCGCTCCCTATCTTTGTAGTCTTGCATGAACTGGATAACACTGGCATTATCACCCTCAACAATAACCCCCTCCACATCATTCATCCAGTCAAGAACTAACTCGTTAATATACCGAAACGCCAAGAGCTCCACTTGTGTGCTGTCCCAGTGGGCAATTCCCCAACTAGCCGCCGAAATGAGAAGACCCTTATCATCCCGAATGACAATGCCAATTCCCCCAACATTCGACCTTCTGAGCGCACCATCCAAATTGATCTTCCACCATCCTGGAGGGGGGGGACACCACGAGGAAGACGACAACAATCTAGCAGATTGGAAGACATCCGGTTGCTCCAGGGGAGGAGAAAAAAAATTCTGGTTAAGTACCTCAAGAACATTAGCCGCCGTCGTTTTAGGGGGGAAGGAGCCCTTGCCATGCTTGTGTAAGTTCCTACTCATCCAGCAATAGTAGATAGTTACACAATAAATAGTAAATAGTCACACAATAAACCTTTTTCCAATCATCATGTGCATTGCCAGCCCTTGAAAGCTCCGTCTGAAGGTCCCAGAAGGAAGAGAACCGAGGCATAAGGATGCCCCAGCCGGCCAAGACATCCAGGATGATCCTCAATGTATTGCATATCGTCATGATGTGGTCGATATCCTCTGCCTCCAAACAGCCAAGAGGACACAACAAATCAACCTGGAGGTGATGGTCGCACAGCCAGACATTTGTGGGGACTTTGTCGTTGTACACTCGCCACCAGAACAAACGCACCCGTGGCCTTAATCCAAGCTTCAGTATCTTACAAATAGGATCCTCCTCCTCATCAAACATTCTGTTGTAGACAATAGACAAAATTGTAGAGCCTAAGGGGGTCTTGATTAGCTCCATACAATCCTTCTCCGTTCCCTCTCCAACAGGAATGCGCGTAATGTTATCCACAAGCAGTTCTCCGAAGCAATCCCGCAGCTTCGGCAAGTCCCAGCTGCCGCCTTCCCTCAAGAAATCCGAGACTGTAAGATTTTCAATATCCGAGATATCACAGAAAGTAGGCCACGAAGAAATGGCTCTATCCCAGATCCAGGTATCAGATAGCACCTCAATGTCCTGGCCATTCCCAATCTTCCAACGTACTGAACTAGTGAGGTTCCTAGCACCCTCACAAATTACTTTCCAGCTACTGGAGTGTCCCCTAGGGGGTTTAAATCTCTCAATTCGTCTCCATATTTATGTTCCAGGCATCTTTGTAGCAACCCCTCAGGATTGCCAATGATGTTCCAGGCCACCCATGCCCGGAGAGCACCAGTCCAGCGTGCACAAACATGGAAGCCAAGCCCGCCATTCCGTCTAGGCCGAGCAACCTTGTCCCATGCGACGTAGTGCATGCCCTTATGCTCAGAGTCCCTATCCCACAGAAAGCTCCGACATAATCTCTCCATATCATTGAGGACCGATTTGGGGATAATAGTATGAGTCATAAGGAAGACCGAAGACGGCAGCAGAACAGAATTGATCAACGTTATCCGCCCCGCCATAGAGAGGTGCCTGATTCCCCAATTAAGTGTATGTTCCCGTGCCCTCTGGATCAAAGGGGAAATATCAACCTTGGTGAGCCTCCTCGTTGCCAGCTTAAGCCCCAGGTAGTCCAATTCTAAAACCTTGCAGCAACCCAGAATCCTAGTCATTCTCTTCTTAGTAGCGGTCGGGGTCCATCGGCTGAAGAGAACCGCAGACTTACTCCGGTTAACTCTCTGCCCAGTCCAAGAGCAGTACTCTGTCAGGATTGACATGGTCTTCCGAGCATTTATCATGGTAACATCTGCAAAAAAGAGAATATCGTCAGCGTAAAGGAGGTGGGAGACAGGAGGTCCCCCCGGGCTGATCGGAACTCCCATCTCCCTGAAGTTTTGCTTGAAATGGGCAGACAACAATTCCGAGCAGAGGATAAACAGGTATGGTGACAGCGGACACCCTTGGCGAAATCCACACTCCGCTGTAATCCAATTTGAAAGCTGGCCATTAACCAGAATAGAGAACTTAGGATTTCTGACACAACTGAGAACCCAAGCCCCAAACCTGGCGGGAAAGCCCATCCTCTCTATAACCAACTCCAAGGTTTGCCAACTCATCTTATCGTACGCCTGTTCCATGTCCACCTTCATAGCAAAAAAACCTTTTGTAGCCTTGGACACCTTAAATTTATGCATCAGTTCTTGGCCAAGTAAGCAGTGCGTCGTAATTGAACGCCCAGGGACAAAGGTGGCTTGTTCTTCATAAATAATATGTGGCAAAACCCCTTTAAGTCTATTCACAAGGACCTTCACCACAATTTTGTAGATCGTTTGACACAGACTAATGGGTCTAAACTTAGAGGGGCGATCCAAATTTTTAACTTTCGTAATCAAGACCACAACCGTCTCCTTCCAAGAAGGGTCCATCACACCTGAATTGAAGAATTCCACACAGGCACGACCAACCTGCTCCCCCACAATGTCCCAATACAATTTGAAGAAGGAGGCAATGATACCATCCCGCCCCGGAGCTTTGTTCTGTCCCAACGATTTTGTGGCACGCAAAATCTCATCCTCCGAGACATCACAATCCAAAATCCCTATGAATCGAGCAATAGAATCCCGATAACTGGTAAGAGATGGCCATCCCTGTTCCACAATATCCGTTCCCCTCCATTTCTGAGCAAAAAACTGGTGGAAGGTATTAGCAACCTCCACCTAATCCATCACAACCGAGCCGTCCTCCCTCATAATTGATGTAATACCATTGGATTGTCTCCTCGCCGACACCATAGAGTGGAAAAAATGGGTATTACCATCGTCCTCCTCGATCCATCGCACCTTCGCCCTCTGTCTCCACCAAGTCATAATCCGGGCAATAGTGGAATTCAAGAGCTGCACCTTAAACCGCAAACTTTCAGTTTGGACCGAATTTAGCCCAGGAGGTTTACCTTCCAACTCCTGCAATGTCCGAACCTCAGAATCCAACTCCTGCTTAAGTTGGTTGAGGCGCCTGAATTTCTCCTTGCTCTAGAAGAACAAAGCCTTCAGCGTTCTATTGCACTTACGCTGAAGTTGTGCAGCCTCACACCCGAAATCAGCCACCCTCCACTTCTCCATGACCAGATGGCGAGCATGTGGAAAGCTTAACCAGACATCCTCAAATCTGATCCAAGGTGAATAAGTGCGCTTCGAAACCTCCTGCACCGTACAAAGAATGGGACAATGATCTGACGCAAGCCTAGTCAGATGCTCAACCCGCAGATCCTGGAACCTGTCCAAGATGTCCGAGCTGACAAGGAATCTGTCCAGTCTAGAAAATATCCTGCTCCTCACGTCTTTATTATTGGTCCAAGTATACGCAGGCCCAACAAACCCGGGATCAACCAGATCATTTGTTACCATAAACTCGGCCATATCGCAAGTGGCAGGAGTGCTAAGAAAAGGCCTACCCCCTTTTTTATCCTCCTGGCTCAGTATACAATTAAAATCCTCGCCAACAAGCAAGGGGAGATTCTGGTGATGGCGAGTGGAAAGATCCTCCCACATTGTGCGTCTAGTGCATCTGTCTTTGCTGGCATAAACCACAGGCACATCCCACAAACTCCCATCCGCCAGCGTGATGTTCCCCATAAGACATTGCTCCGCTTTGAACAAAATCTGAAAAGAGAAACGGCTGCTCCTCCACAGGACAAGGATACCCCCAGCTCTACCAATCGAAGGCTGATAATCGAAATCCCAATCTCTCCCAGCCAATCTGTCCACATCTTTGCGATCAATCTTCTCAAATTTAGTCTCCAACAGACCAACAAAACTAGCATTATGGGTTCCAATTAAGTGCCGTAAGTAGAACCCCGTCTCTTTCTTACGCGCACCTCTACAATTCCAACAGAGGATGTTAAACATGTGGATGACCGAAGGGGGAGAGTCCCCGCCGCACAGGTTTTCTAAAGTCTTCGCCGTCCCCTCAGGACCATGCGGATTATTGGTAGCCACTTCATCCCTCAACACCTCAACCATCGACCCCGCAATGCCAATAGACCAATCCTCAGATGCACCAGCCAGCGAATGATCTAAATTACGTGCCGATTCTAGCAATGCCCCTTCCTTCTTGGCCAACCCAGCCTTGGCTTTCCTGTCCCTTATAGTATACAGTTTCCATCCTCTGATCTCAGAGTCCGAGAACAGTAAGACCCTGGGTAAAGTCGGCTGTTCAATCAGGTCCTGAGAGCATTCCTCCCTGCGAATTTTCCCTTGTTTACGTCCCTTCCGCAAGGGCCCGTTTGAATTCAATGGCTGAACGCACATCCTCGGCTCTGATCCGCCTCCGCAATTTGTCTCTCCAGTTTGTTCTTTCATGTTTGTTCAACAGGCTCAGCCCCCTTCTCCCTCATTGGTGATCTCATGAAGTTGGGAAATTCCCTGCTTCCGGTTCTGGATTCCCCAGTTGGCTATTCAGTCTCAGCAACCAACATCTGTAAAGTGCCCAATTGTCCCGCAGGAGCAGCCCCCAAGACGCCCGGATTCAGCTTCACAGCAGCCCTCTGCTCCATAGAAGATCTTTGTCCAGTATGTTCTTCCATTGCCTTAGCCTTCCCCATTTTGTTCTCCTTAGCTGTC